TCTACTAAAAATACAAAAATTAGCTGGGCCTCGTGGCATGCACCTTTAGTCCATGCCTACATGGAGGCTGATGCAGGAGAATTGCTTGAACGCAAGAGGCAGAGGTTGCAGTGAGCCAAGATTGCACCACTGCATTCCAGCCTGGATGCAACCTCACTGCAACCACTGCCTCCTGAGTTCAAGTGATTCTCCTATCTCAGCCTCCCAAGTAGCTGGGATTACAGATATGCATCAACACACTCAGCTAATTTTGTGTTTTTAGTAGAGATGGGGTTTCACCATGTTGGTCAGGCTAGTCTCAAATTTCTGATCTCATGTGATCCACCCAACTCAGCCTCCCAAAGTATTGGGATTACAGGCATGAGCCACCACACCCAGTCAAAATGGCTATTATCAACAAGACAAAAAATAAGAAATTCTTGTGAGGATATGGAGAAAAGGGAACTCTTATATACTGTTGATAAAAGCATAAACTAGTAGAACCCCTACAGAAAACAATATGGGGGTTCCTCATATAACTACCAATAGAATTGCCATATAATCCAGTAATCCCACTACTTGGCATTTATCCAGAGGAAAGGAAATCAGCACATTGAAGAGACATCTATACCTTCGTATTTATCAAAGCATTACTCACAACAGCCAATATATGGAGTCAGTCTAGGTGTCCAATAAGAGATGAATGGATAAAGGAAATATGGTACACAATGGAATACTATTCAGCCGTAAAAACAATAAAATCTGTTATTTCTGGCATCATGGATGGAACTGGAGGACACTGTGTTAAGTGAAGTAAGCCAGTAACAGAAAGTTAAACACTGCATGTTCTCATTCATATGTGGAAGTTAAAAATAAGTTGATCTCATAGAAGTAAAAAGTAGAACAGAGTATACTGTGGGAATTCACTTAGAGTGGTGGCAAAAATATTAAGAAAAAAATATTAGAGAGGGTTATAGAATATAGTCTCAAACCCTTTTGGAGCCTAAGGGTTTTTTCTATAGTTCTTGGCTGAAGGCAGCCAGATTCTCTCTGCAGGTGCCAAATACAAAAGAATGTGAGTAGTTTACCTAGCTAGCTTGTTTACTCATGTGGTCTTAAAACTAATCTTTGAGCCAGATGGCCTTCTTGGGAGGAGGTGGACCAGGGATATTACCCATTAATGGTATTTGCTTTGGGCATCAGAATCTATCCTTTAATCTTTAACCTCTAGTAGTGTTGACTCAAGCCTTTGTCAATTAAACTTTACTAAATAAATGTGAGTCTCACTGGCTGGGGAGAGCTGGTGGTCATAACTGTTTACAGGACTCACCAGGGAATCTGTAAGCTGCCCAGACCCTCAGCTGAACTGGCAAAGCATAGTATCTGTGTGTCAGTGTACTTCATTCATCTGTCGCTGAGTCAGGGTCTGCAAGACAGACCCCCACAGCACAGGTGGTGACCCCAATAGGATACTGGAAAGGAAGAATCGGTTCTAGTATTCTGTATCACTGTAGGATGAGTATAGTTAATAATAATATATTATATAGTTTCCAATAACTAGAAGAAGGATGTTGAACATTCTCAACTTAAAGAAATTATAAATGTTTGAGATTATGGATATGCTAATTACCCTTATCTGATCACTATATGTTACATGTAGTAAAATATCAACGGGTACCCAATAAATACATAATTATTATATATTAATTTTTTTAAGTAAGCTGGGCACAGTGCTCATGCCTTTAATCTCAACATTTAGGAGGAGACCAAGGCAGATGGATCACTTGACCCCAGGAGTTTAAGACCAGCCTGGGCAGCATAGAAAGACTTCATCTTTACAAAAAAAAATTAGCCAATATAGTTGTGCATGCCTATGGTCCCAGCTACTTAGGAGGCTGAAGTGGGAGGGTCATTTAAGCCTGAGAGGTCAAGGCTGCACTGAACTATGATCATGCCACCGCACTCCTACTTGGAAGACAGAGTGAGACTCTAGTCTCAAAATAAATTTAAATAAATAAAATCTTTTTAAATATGCAAATGTTCAACAATACGAATAAAGCTACATAAAAAGTACATTTTACAAAAGACTCTAATGAAATATACCAAATTGTTCATAGTAGTTTTCATGGCAGGGACTAGAGGGTAATGCAAGTGAGGCTCTTAGGACACAAAATTTAAGGATATAATCAATGCAAGGTCAGCCTCCTTAAATTTCATGCCCAAAATAATATCCTGGATACCCAGATAAACTTGCATTGCTGGGATGATGCTGATGGTAATAGCAAACAATCAGGAATGACCAGTCCCTTCTTTCACCTCCTGTCTTCCAATCTCCCTCTACTGCTCCTGGCAGATACTAACAGAAAACTAGCCAAGAACAAATAGTTGGCAGTCTCAGACCAGGCATTACCAATTATAGAGCAGCATTACCAATTATAGAAGGTCAACTTGGAGATGGAAAATAATGGCTTAATAACTGGCACACCCATCAACTAAAACTTCCCTAGGAATAATATAACCATTTTTCTTTTAATCAAATTGTATATAAAAATAAATTCTGACAAAGAGCAGAATCTCAACTCCCAGCTAGAAAAGGGCATGGAACAAAGGCAGGAGTACTATTGTGGGTTTCAATGCAGTGAAAGGACTTGCCTTGAGTTGGAAATTGAGCCTGCTTGAAATTATTTTTACTCAATATATGATTTCATGGACCTGGAATGATCAATCTTCTAAAGAAATAACTCAATGGTAACATAGGTAACAAAAGGTTGTGTTTGACTATATGAATGGTGAAGCCAAAATGTATGTAGCCAAACTAAGTAAAAGTCATTCTCAGGAAACTCACTAGAAGAGACACAATTCACATTCAAATTACCTACTTTCAAATCCTTGCTCCACCATATAAGGGCCTAGTGGCTTTAGGCAAGTTACTTAAATTCTTTGTGTTTTAGTTTTCTCATCTATAAAGCTAACATAATAATGGTAGCTACATGATTGTGCTACTGTGAAAATTAAATGAGTTAATCCATAGTGATTAGAGAAGCACAAGGAACGTGGTAAATGCTTATTAAATCTTGGCCATTATATGTGACTGATTAAATTTCTTCCTTTAGCTTAAAGGAATCTTGTTAGTTTGAAAAAGTATCAATGCCTCTTGAGATAACACTTTAATTTATTATTGATTATTTATGCTACAGTGTAAAGAAAAGATCTGAGGGTGGATTTAGAAGAGAATATAAGGATTCAATAGTGAAGATTTAGGAAAACATAGGAGTACTAAGTTTGTAAAAAAATAAAAAGAAAAGAAAATGAATGTTAGAATATACTGTAATGGCTGGGTGTGGTGGCTCATGCCTGTAATCCTAACATTTTAGGAGGCCGAGGCAGACAGATCATTTGAGGACAGGACTTTGTGACCAGCCTGGCCAACATGGCGAAAACCTGCCTCTACTAAAAACACAAAAATTAGCTTCAGGTGGTGGCACACACCTGTAATCCAAGCTAGTTGGGAGGCTGAAGCAGGAGAATCACCTGAACTTGGGAGGTGGAGTCTGCAGTGAGCCAAGATTGCACCACTGAACCCCAGTCAAAAAAAGAGAAAGGAAAGAAGAGAAGAAAGAGAGTAAGAGAGAGAAAGAGAAAATACTGCAAGATCCACAATATTTTGCTCACAGTTATATTCCTTGCATAGTGTCTAACACATAACAAGTCTCACTAATTATTTGTGGAATGAAATACTTGAATAAATTTAGTAACTAAGGAGTGTTGAAAGTAAACAATGTAATTGACATTTCTGCCTCAGTTCAATCTAGATGGAGTCTGTGCAATGCTTGAAGTGAGTTCATCGACCTAAATATGGAACAGAAAGATGTAATATTCTTCCTTCCCTTCCACTAAATAAAATAATAGATGTTTGGGAGGAGTTATCTAGAGCTATGCAAATGATACAAAAAGTAAATAAAAGATGTTCTCAAGAAATTCACTAGAAGAGACACAATTCACATGCATGAAAAAATTGACATTATCATCTGAGAGCAGCATATAGCAAAGAACTATATTGTCTGGAATAAACAGTAAATGCCACAGCAGTTTAAAGATAGAATAGACAAATCACATTATAGAGGCTACAAGAATTCGTATCCCCTGCTCCACACAACACTCCCCAGTAGCAATGGCTCCTAAGGTCCTGGAGTATCAAATTTAAATCAAACATAATTTGACTGGCAGATTCTAAGATTTTATTTGTAACATATCATATTTCATTTATATTATGAAGATCAAAGAGGATCTCAGCCTTACATTGAAGCTTTCATGAAGATCTTCTAAGCCTCCATATTAAAATGACTTTGTAAGTTTTATCCAGGTCCTCCCCTGTCTCAATATACATCTATGTCCATTTAGTAAGGAAAGAAGAGGAGAGGAAGAAGGAAACGGAGTTTTGTCAGGAAAGCTTGCTGTCTTTGTCCCAAAAGGTTTCTAAATCTATCAATGTTGTTATCTTAGTCTTTGATCTCTCAAATAGGCCATAGTGACACTCCTTGATGCCAGAAGAGAAGCCTCAAAAATCTTAAAGGTATATATAGTGAAAGATATCAGTCTTAACCATTCCAACTTGAGTCTTGTTTTATGAAGTAGTTGTAACTGATCCTCAGAAAATGAGTCTCCAGAACTCAGCTATCTGGCTTTCAAATAGTAAAATATTTTCAAGCTATGCTTTGCAACTGTTTAGTGAAAAATGATATTATTTTAATTATGTAATATATATGTATATAGGTATACATATGTTGAATCATGACACAAAATGCATTCTTACTATGGGTCACAAGTCAAAATGTTTGAAAAACACTAGTCTCATTTGTTAACAGGGAAGAGATCAACAAAGGAAATTCAACATATTGACAAGTATGCAAAGTTGTATTAACATCATTTTCAGCAAGAGAGAACATAAGTCATCTGATTTGTTAGACCTCCTTATAATTAATGTCTGAACAGTGTTATATTAATAGGATAGCACAGCTTACTTCCTCTTATGGAAGGATCTGAAGAAAACTTCACACATTTTGGGTTCATCCTCCTTGGCCATTTAAAATGTAATGGCTGTTGTCTCCCCAGGTCTGTAAATAAAGGCAAATGCCTATGGGTGCTGAATAATTCATGTGTTTCTATATAGAAATATAAAAGTGTAAAAGTTATATGTCTATGTATAGAATACATAAGTGCAAAAGGTCATTTTTTTGTTAATATGGGCATTACTGGACCTGTCTGTAATAATTAAGTTTGTTAAGTAGGTTTTATCAGATAGAATACATGCAGCATAGACCATTACCTTGTAGGGTGTGGGGAAGAATGCCCTAAAGAAACAAGCCGCAAGTTATGATAAGCTGTGTCTGTAAGTACTGGATAAAAGCCCTCAACTGGGTGTCCAAAAGGACAGCTAACAAGGAAGACAGACCACTGTATGTGTGAAATGGCTTCCTTGCTCATTTTTATCCTGCTGTTTCTCCCTTATGCACCATAGAAAGTTCAGCCCAACTGGTGCCAAACAGCTTTGAATATTAATAATCCAGGAGCAGGTGAAGCAAATTGCTTTCGTCACCATAAATGCTCGTTATTTTATCGTTTCTTTTTCTTCTCTCCTTTAGATGATGTGCATTATATGTTATATGTGCTAAAATAACAAATTCACAATATAGGTTGTTTGCTACATTTTGTGTATAAAGTTATTCAAATAACATCTTCCTAAGAAAACGTTTTTTCTCATCTGCACAAACTCAATCTAAAAGAAGTAGAAAGGCTAAGGAAAGCATACAAAACTTCCCACAGAGCAAAATAAATTCACTTCACTTTAGTCTAGCTCTTTATCCCCAGATATGGTCATTATACTACTTAGAGCTGACATAAATAGGAGAAATAAATGCATAGATGAGGGGAGGCTGGTAGAAGTACTTATTTAGTGCCATTTTTATAGCTTTTAGCAATTTTACAAAAGCACTTAAATATACATTATAACATTTAATCCAGATTACATTGTGATGCAGTAAACAATATTACTTATCCTTATTTTTCAAGTAAAGAATGGAGGCTCAGAAAGGTAAAAACAAAGCCAAGACTCAAACACTGTCCATCAGTTTCTTCCATATACCACACTGCCCCTCTATTGGCCCAAGATGATTGGGGCTTCTTCAAACAGGATGAATTGAAACTCTGAAAACAAACAAACAAACAAAACCTGTAGTGTGGCATATAATCCCAACTCCTTTTGACCTTACCTATAATTGTAATTCTATACAATGCTGCATAGGTCTCATAAATATCTGCTCTTGTCACAGCTCTCTGCTGCTATTAATTATTATGGCTCACAGCCATTAAAAGCACTAGCACTAACTGTCCAGAACTGAGCAAATACTCCAACTGTGCCCATCTTCTCATGGCAAAACTAATTTCTCTATTTGAACCTCACAATTAATTAGACATAAATTTCAAAATGCATGGTCAAAATCAGGAAATACTGTCATGTTAATTCTATGTGTAAAATATAGCTACAAGGTAACCAATGAACTCAAGTAAGAGTAGTCCTAGGACATTTGCTCACTTATATGGGTGTGTTTAGTGGGAAAATCTGTGTCAATGTGAAAAAAAAAAGCTTCCCTCAAAATTCAATCTTTCCTGATCTCCTACATCTAATATAATGATAGAAAAGATTTTAAACTATTAAAAAGGGAAGTTAGAGCACTTTGATTAAGTTAGCATTATATTTAAATATGTGGGTGTGTCTACATATACATCCTGATATATATATATATACACAATATATAGTGGGTGTGTCTATATACATATCGCTATATATATAAATGTATGTCTATATCTATATGTCACACATTTATATATATATATCTCTAACTGGCTGCCTTGCACATTAGCTATATATATGCGTAGCTAATGTGCAAGGCAGTGCCTGCCACAATCATCACAAAAAGAGTGATAATGGTAGAGCTTCAGAGACCCTGGGGTCCAGTCCCTTGGGAAATGGGCAATTACTTCTCTTTATGTCCTGTCTTAATGCTCCACTTTTTATCACTCTCCTGCTTTCTCCCCCATAACATTAGCCTATAAATTTGACTCGGAACTAAGTTTCTAATTGGGACCGCTCATATTCACATAGTATCACAGAGAAAACAACTCTGAATTACCCCCTTCCTTGATATAATAGTAGGTAACATCCCATAAATTGAACATAGTAATAAAAGTACAACAGGGTCTTCTTAGAGCATTGTTTTGCTCTTTTACAAAAAAATTGTAAGGGGTTATAAAAAAAGTTTATGAGGATTTTACCTTATGGTTAAACTAATTAAGATTATTTAAATATGTCTACAAGGTTGTATTAAGAATTATGTTTAACTTAATAGAACACTAATACAAAGGTAAAATTTGGCTTTCTCTTTTGAACGAGATTTTCATATAATATATATAAATATATATATATGGGTTTTTTTTTTTGTTTTTTTGTTGTTTTTTTTTTGAGACAGAGTTTCACGCCATCACCAGGTGCCAGGCTGGAGTGCAGTGGCACAACCTCGGCTCACTGCAACCTCCGCCTCCTGGGTTTAAGCAATTCTCCTGCCTCAGCCTTCCGAGTAGCTGGGACTACAGGCACGGGCCACCACACCCAGCTAATTTTTTTTTGTATTTTTAGTAGAGATGGGGTTTCACCATGTTGGCCAGGATGGTCTCAATCTCTTGACCTCGTGATCCGCCAGCCTCGGCCTCCCAAAGTGCTGGGATTACAGGCGTGAGCCACCTGCGCCTGGCCATTTTTCATGTAATATTAAATAATGAAAGATTTTTCTTTGCCCCTTTGGGTTAATGGCAAAAAAAAGGAAGAAGAGAGAGAAAAGAGTCAGATTCAGGTGACCTCATGCTGTCTTTATTGGGTCTTGTTTAGAATGCTGATTCTCTCCTCTATCAAGGAATATGAGGTTTCGCCATTTAAAAAAATTTTTTGAGTCACCACTTCAGCTAAATAAACAACCTGTAATCCTATTTTGTGATAGCCAGTGTTTTACACTTTGATATTTGACAAACTTTCCAAAATCAAATTATAAATTATGTCTCTTTCTGACCTAAATTGACCTTTCAGGTATTAGGTCCCCTAAAGTCCAAAAATGGCATATTTGGCCTATTTGGTAGAAAAAAATCATATAGGAAGCTTTATCAAATATGAAATGGTATTTGGCTTTCTTTAGGCTGTATTTTTAAAATATATGTTATTGGTATATGTTCCAAAATTATGGGAAACTCCTGTAATTTGATATGACTTAGTATACATTATTAATAATTATGAGCATTATGTAAAATTGTTGTATGCCACAGAAGTAACCAAAATTTCTAGTCAACTGTGGCTTTAATAGTAGCTATCCTAAGACTTTCATCATTCACAGACAATTGTTGTCTTGCTTTGATCTTTTCAAAAGAGAATTTATAATCAGATATAGGACTCTGACAGCACTCTTAAAATGCAGGTCTCGGATAACTTTAGAAATTATGCTATTGGAATAGAAGAAAAAAACAAACTTCTAGACTCTCATAAAGAGCTGATGTATTAAACATTGCTAATTCTTTTGTTTTTCAGAGTCAAACTTTTTCCTTTTGAGCTACTACAACTTTTAGCAATTGAGTAAAATATTACTCCTGTTAGCAAAATTTGAAGTACATTGCTTTCTCTCTACCTGATTTCCCCAGAACTATATGTGAGTGTTCTCAACTTATGGCAGTATAGTTATTTGGATAAGTGCAATGAGAATCTGTTTTCTTTTATAACACAACACAATCAGAGAAAATGGTTATTTTATCAGGCCTTTGACTGGAGTGGCATACTTTCAGATTTTAACACACTGCTTTAGGGAAGTAAATTTGACCTACAGAGTCAATAAAAGTCCCTTGGGAAAGCTGGCCTTATACCTTGTCTATGCACTTCCTGTACAGAATTCCTGACCTGTGGTAAGTAAAGCATGTCACTTTCAGACCAGCCCATGAGCCCCAGGTTATCTTGAGACCTTGAAAGGAGGAAAATTCAGGCATAGTGAAAGAGATAAATCCATGACTGGGCTTCAAGGCTTTAAAAAGTACAATCTGAGATTTCTTAGAGAACAAAGTTTCAGCAAAGCCAATATTTAAAAGAGCCCATATGGCAAATAATTTTTCTATTGCACTTTATGCAAATAATCAGCCAGAGCACAGTAACACTAAAATTTATTTCACAAGTAAATTTGACTTACTACGATTTATTTTTAATAAAAATGGGTATTGAAGACAGAAAAACTATGCTTCAAAAAAAAACTGTAGTACAACTGTTAGTTGTTCCTGAGTTTTTTGCTGCAATTTAAACTAAATCCTAAATTATTTGTGGGCTGCAAGTCCCCAAACTAATGCTTTCAAATCTTTACTTTAAAAACTGGAAACTGCACTCCTTATTTTAGAACTCATTATTTACCCTGTAGTAAGCTGTTTACTTAAATGTGGTACTTAAACTACAGACGAGAATACAAACACCTTTGTTGTGCAAGCCTTGGGACCCCAGCCCAGCCTGCTGGAGTACACACAAGACAACTGCAAACGGTTCCACTTTTCTTACTTTGGGGTCAACACCTACCCTACTATGCCACTGGTAAGCAGGAAGAAGTTAGAGTGGCCTTCATCCTTTATCCATCTTAATTAGCCCACACCTTAAAATTAAGATTTTACAAAACCCAAAGGGAGGGATTGAAACTGCCATTGCAGTTCAGTTATAATTGAGACAGTGAAAGAGATATAATGTAACCAAATCCATCTTGCCTCTGACCTCCAAGCTGTCCTTGTTCATTCCTGGGCATAGGCTGAACTAACTTAGAGAAGAACTTAGTTTGTAGTTTATAGTGTAAAACAAAAGAGGACAACAGCCCTTTCCCCAAAAGAAGCCCCCTCTTGTCTGGGGACTAGGCTGCCTTTGTAGATTAACAAATTAAGTAAATGCTTAGAAATTATGGTTTAGGAGTCATGAAGCTGGAGGCTACAAGATTCTGACTCTTCCCAAATTGTTCCTGGGGACAACATCACTATTATAAAACCTAAGATCAGTGCCTGAGATAGTTTGCAGACCATGCACTTGATGGATCAGCTGGCATTAGCCAAATCAATAAACTGACTCATCAGATCTTGTGCCCTCGCACCAGGCAGGAACTGACTCAGCACAGGAGGAAAGCTTAGACTTCCTATGATTTCATCTCTGACCCAACCACTCAGCACACCTGACTCACTGGCCCCGCCACCCACCTTAAAGACTCTGATCCTCGAATGCTCAAGAAGACTCATTTGAGTAATAGTAAAACTCCAGTCTCCCACAATAAAAAAGGTAACATCTCAAAAGAATTTTAAAATTATGTTCAGTAATCCCATCGGTGTGTTGTTTTGGAGGAGTGAGTGGTTTTCCTCTTTTGCTTTGATTTGTGTTCAGTTGGTTTTGATACAATTATTTGGGGTTTTTTTTGTAATTATATCTCATATGAGAGGATTTATTAGTGAAATTCACAAGAATAACATAATGAGATTACATACAACACACATGCTTGCATGTGTACATATTATATAATCCAAATCCAAATTCAAAAGAATCAGAATCAGCCAGGCATGGTGGCTCATGCCTGTAAATCCTAGCACTTTTGGAGGCCGAGATGGGCAGATCACTTGAAGCCAGGAATTTGAGACCAGCCTGGCAAAACCCCATGTCTATTAAAAATACAAAATTAGCCAGGTGTGGTAGCGAATGCCTGTAATCCCGGCTACTTGGGAGGCTGAAGCAGGAGAATCACTTGAACCCAGGAAGTGGAGGTTCCAGTGAGCCGAGATTATGCCATTGCATTCTAGCCTAGGCAGCAAGAGCAAAACTTCATTTCAAAAAAAAAAAAAATTAGGATATAAAAGAAAAGATATCACAGAAGCATCAGAGTAAAATATACTTGTCACTGCAATTAATATATGCTTTATCTTTTTTTTACCATATTGATTTTTTATATTAGTGATTATCTTGTAATACCATTTATTCATCAAGAGATAGAAGGAATTGTGTACTTGTGTTTGAAAACAGTTTTAATTGTGCATTCCATACAAATCTTCTATTTTAATTATTAAAAATGTAAAGTTAATATTTATTCTAATACATAAAGTTGAAA